GTTATAAGTAGGTGCTCTCGTGTATTCGAGTTTTGGATAAATGTAATATAAGTTGGAGTTGGCCCTCGTTGGGTTATAAGTAGTATGTATAGGGTATAGGATGCAGTGAGTAGAGTTGCAATTCCAGTTAGGATAATTGTAAAGGCAGATCAGTTGAACAGGGTGATTATGATGGTTAGTTCAGCTATTAGGTTAGTGGTGGGGGGGAAGTGCCATATTTGTTAGGTTTGCCAGGAGTCATCAGATGCCCATAAGAGGTAGAAGGGGTTGTAGGCCCCGTGTTAAGAGAAGGGTACGGCTGTGCATGCGCTCGTAGTTTGTGTTAGCTAGGCAGAATAGTATAGAAGAGGTAAGTCCATGGGAGATTATTAAGATTATAGCACCTGAGATGGACCAATGGGTTTGGATAATTACTGCAGCAAGAACTAGGCCTATGTGGCTTACTGAGGAATAGGCGATTAATGATTTTAGGTCAATTTGGCGTAGGCAAATGGAGCTTGTTATTAATGCTCCTCATAGGGCTAAGGTTAAGAAGGGATAGTGGAGGTAGTCTAATAGGGGGCTAGTAATTATAGACGTGCGTATGATGCCATATCCTCCGAGCTTAAGGAGGAGGGCGGCTAGGAGTATGGATCCTGCAATTGGTGCTTCTACGTGTGCTTTAGGGAGTCATAAGTGCAAGCCGTAGAGGGGGGCTTTGACTATAAAGGCGAGTAATAAGGCTAGGCTTAGTATGAGGCTTGTTCAAGAGCTAGGAAAAGACGGATGTAAGAGCTTCATTATAATGATATGTATGGTGCCTGTTTGGGTGTGAAGGTATACGACTGCGATTAATAAGGGGAGAGAGCTGGATAGTGTGTAAAATAGTAGGTAGATTCCAGCACTTAAGCGTTCTGGTTGACTACCTCATCGCGTGATTATAATAAGGGTGGGGATTAAGGTAGCTTCGAATGCAATATAAAACAGTGTCAGTTCCAGGGCTGAGAATGCTAGGAGAATGAATGGTTGAGCTAGGATTATGGTTGTAATGAATATATATTTTCGTGTGGAGGGTTCTTGTTGGAGGTGATTTTGGCTGGCTAAGACTATAAGGGGTAGCAGTCAGCAGGTTAGAACTAGTAAGGGGGATGAAATTTGATCAATTCCAGACCATTGGGTTAAGTTTTTGCAAGGGTAATAGGTGGAAGAAAGTCACTGTAGGCTGATAGTAGCAATTAGGAGGCTGTGGGAAGTAATGTTGAGTCATAGAAATTTTGGAGGGGATAGGAGGATTATGGGGAGTAATATAGTTGTAGGGAGGATGATTTTTAGCATTGTAGTAGGTTTAGATTGTATAAGTGGTCTGATCCATGAGTTCGGGTAGAGGCTACTAGAATTGCTAGGCCGGCGCCTGCTTCACAGGCAGAAAATGCCAGTATGAGAACGGGTATTAAGGCGGGGGATGTTGTTTGGGTTTGGATTGGTCATATGGATAAAGCGATGTACATAGATAATATTATGCTTTCTAAACATAGTAGGGCTGAAATTAAGTGCATTCGATGGAAGGCTAACCCTAAGCTACTTAGGGTGAAGGCAGAGTAGAAGCTTAAATGTAGGAAGGTCATTGAGAAAGTCACAGAGTAAAACTGTGGTTTGTAGAGCCGAAATCAACTGTCTTTGCTAGACTAACTTTCTGTAGTTACTCTGCTCATTCTAAACCTCCCTGGGTTCACTCGTAGACCAATCCTAGTGTGAGCAAGAGGATGATGATGAAAGTTCAGGTTAGGGTGGTGAAGGGTGAGTGAAGTTGGGTGGCTCATGGAAGGGGAAGTAGGAGGGCGATTTCAAGGTCGAATAGAAGAAATAGGATTGCAATAAGGAAGAATCGAATTGAGAATGGAAGACGGGCGGATCCTAATGGGTCAAAACCGCATTCATATGGGGAAAGCTTTTCTGAGTCTGGGTTTACTTGGGCTAGTCAAGTGTTTAATGTAATTAAGATTACACATAGTGAAAGAGATATGGTTAGTATGAAGAGAATTATGTTAATTGCCCTTCTCTGGTTTTAATCCAGATTCTAGAGATTGGAAGTCAATTGTAATTAATATACTAGAAAGGCAAGATCCTCATCAGTAGATAGTTATATAGAGGAAGAGTCAAATAACATCAACGAAATGTCAGTATCAGGCTGCTGCTTCAAAGCCGAAGTGATGGTTGGGTGTGAAGTGGAATTTGATAAGGCGGAGAAGGCAGATTAAGAGGAAGGATGATCCGATAATTACATGGAGTCCGTGGAACCCTGTTGCTACAAAGAATGTTGATCCATACACTCCATCAGCAATTGAGAATGGGGCTTCATAGTATTCTATGGCTTGGAGTGTAGTGAAGTAGAATCCTAGTAGTACGGTTAAAAGTAGAGCTTGGGTGGCTTGGTTTTGGTTGCCTTCTGTAATACTGTGGTGTGCTCATGTAACAGTGACTCCTGAGGCTAGGAGGATAGCGGTGTTTAGTAAGGGGACTTCTATTGGATTGAGAGGTTTAATTCCTATAGGGGGTCATTGTCCTCCGAGTTCTGGAGTTGGGACTAAGCTGGAATGAAAAAATGCTCAGAAGAATCCTAGGAAAAAGAAAGCTTCGGATGTAATAAATAAAATTATCCCGTAACGTAGGCCCTTTTGAACTGTGAGGGTGTGGTGGCCTTGGAATGTGCTTTCTCGTACGATATCACGCCATCATTGGATTATGACTAGAATCATGGAGAGTATGCCTAAAAGTAGAAGTTGTGTTGAGTTATGGTGGAATCATATGGCTAATCCGGAGGTAGTGAGAAGAGCAGCTGTTGCTCCAAAGATAGGTCAAGGGCTTGGATCTACTATGTGAAATGAATGTGCTTGGTGGGTCATTAGGGGTTAAATGTTTTCTTGTAGGTAGAGGCTTAATAGGAGTACGAAGACATAGGCTTGGATTATAGCTACAGCCACTTCTAGGATTGTAAGAAGAAGGAGAATTACAGTGGTTAGGAGTGACACAGTGGGTATGATAGGGAGGAGGACTGTGGATGCTGTTGAAATGAGTTGAATAAGTAAATGACCTGCTGTTAGATTTGCCGTAAGGCGAACGCCCAAGGCTAGGGGGCGGATAAGTAGGCTTGTAGTTTCAATTAGAATGAGGGCTGGAATTAAGGGTGTTGGAGTGCCTTCTGGCAGGAGGTGACCTAAGGAAGCTGAAGGTTGGTTTCGTAATCCTGTGAGTAGAGTGGCAAGTCATAAGGGAAAGGCTAGGGCTAAGTTTATAGATAGTTGGGTAGTGGGGGTAAATGTATAAGGTAAAAGGCCTAATAGGTTGATTGTCAATAGTATTGTTATTAGTGATATTAAAATTAGGGCTCATTTATGGCCTTTTTTGTCTAGTGGGGTTATTAGTTGTTTTGTAATCAGATGAAAGAATCAGAGTTGAAGGGTTGAGAGGCGGTTTGTGATTCATCGATTGCTGGGGGAGGGGTACAGAAGAGCTGGGAATAGTAGTGCAATAAGAATCAGAGGGACTCCGAAGAGGGATGGGCTCATGAATTGGTCGAAGAAGCTTAGGTTCATGGTCAGTTTCAGGAAGGGGTTTTTAGGTTAGAAAGCACTTTGTTGGACGGTAGGTTTGTTGAAGTAAATAATAGAAGCTTAGGTTGAAGAATCAAAGAAAGAGTAAACCACGAGATTAGTATGATGAAAAGTCATGGAGCTGGGTTTAATTGAGGCATATCATTAAGGAAGGTGAGTAGTCTTCTTTCTTTAGCTTAAAAGGCTAATGCTGATTCATAGCTTCTTAATGATTAAGATGTTAGGAGAGAGGATCAGCTTTCGAAGTGTATTAGAGGGGTTGATTCAACTACAATGGGTATGAAACTGTGATTGGCTCCGCAGATTTCTGAGCATTGGCCATAGAAGATTCCAGGGCGAGTTGTAATAAAAGAAGTTTGGTTTAGTCGTCCTGGAATTGCATCGGTCTTAACACCTAGGCTAGGTACGGCTCAAGAGTGAAGGACGTCGTCAGCTGTAATAATAATTCGAATAGGGGATTCTATGGGGATTACGACACGATTATCGACTTCTAGAAGACGGAAATGGCCGAGTGGAAGATCCGTTGTTGGTAGCATGTAGGAATCAAAGGACAGGTCTTTAAAGTCTGTGTATTCATAGGATCAGTATCATTGATGACCAATGGCTTTAAGAGTGAGATCAGGTTCATCAATTTCGTCTATCATGTAAAGGATTTGGAGAGAGGGGAGAGCTAGTATGATTAAGACGATTGCGGGTAGAATTGTTCAAACAAGTTCTACTTCTTGTGCATCAACAGTGTTGGAAGACAATTTTTCTATGAGTATGAGGGCTAGAAGGTAAAGTACTAGGCTACAGATAGCTAGTGCAACTATTAGGGCATGATCATGAAATTCAATAAGTTCTTCTATGATAGGGGATGAGGCATCTTGAAAACCGTATTGTGAGTGGTTGGCCATGGATAGATGATGGGGTGTACTGGGTTTTCACCTGTGATTTAGTCTTGACAAGACTATGTAATGGTTTTACTAACAGCCCATAAGAAAGAAGCATGAGTGGCTTAATGCGGTTGGCTTGAAACCAGTTTATGAGGGTTCGATTCCTTCCTTTCTTGCACTTGAACAAAGGCTGGTTCTTCAAAGGTGTGGTATGGGGGAGGGCAGCCGTGGATTCATTCGATGTTAGTAGAGGTTAGTTCTGCTTGTATGACTTTTCGTTTGGATGCAAAGGCTTCTCAGATTATGAATATTATTATGATTACAGCGACTAGGGAAATTAGGGAGCCAATAGAGGATATTGTGTTTCATAGAGTATAGGCGTCTGGGTAGTCTGAGTATCGTCGTGGTATGCCAGCTAGGCCTAAGAAGTGTTGAGGAAAGAATGTTAGATTTACTCCGGAGAATATTACTCCGAAATGGGCTTTAGCTCATGTGGGGTGGAGGGTAAAGCCAGTAAATAGTGGGAACCAGTGGGTGAAACCAGCTAGAATAGCAAATACTGCTCCTATGGATAATACATAGTGGAAGTGTGCAACTACATAGTAAGTGTCGTGTAGGGCAATGTCTAAGGAGGAGTTGGCTAGGACAATTCCAGTTAATCCTCCAATTGTGAAGAGGAAGATAAAGCCTAGAGCTCATAATATGGGCGGATCTCATTTGATTGTTCCTCCATGCAGTGTAGCTAGTCAACTAAAAACTTTAATGCCGGTAGGAATTGCGATAATTATAGTTGCAGAAGTAAAGTATGCTCGGGTGTCTACGTCCATTCCAACTGTAAATATGTGGTGAGCTCAGACAATAAAACCTAGGAAGCCAATGGATAACATGGCTCAGACTATGCCTATGTAACCAAAGGGTTCTTTTTTACCAGCATAATAAGCTACGACGTGGGAAATAATTCCGAATCCTGGTAGGATGAGGATGTAGACTTCTGGGTGTCCAAAAAATCAGAATAGATGTTGATATAGGACTGGGTCTCCTCCTCCTGCAGGGTCAAAGAATGTAGTGTTTAGATTACGGTCTGTTAGAAGTATGGTGATGCCAGCAGCGAGAACTGGGAGGGAGAGGAGAAGTAAGACAGCAGTGATTAGGACGGATCAAACGAATAGAGGAGTTTGGTATTGTGAGAGGGTTGGTGGTTTTATATTGATTGCTGTGGTAATGAAGTTGATAGCCCCGAGAATAGAGGAGACACCTGTTAGGTGGAGAGAGAAAATAGCAAGGTCTACAGAGGCACCGGCGTGAGCAAGGTTACCGGCTAATGGGGGGTACACTGTCCATCCTGTACCAGCTCCGGCTTCTACTGTGGAGGATGCTAGAAGTAGCAGGAAGGATGGGGGAAGAAGTCAGAAGCTTATGTTATTTATACGAGGAAACGCTATATCGGGAGCACCAATTATTAGGGGGACTAATCAGTTGCCGAATCCCCCGATTATAATGGGTATAACTATAAAGAAGATTATTACAAAGGCATGTGCTGTAACAATTACATTATAAATTTGGTCATCACCTAGAAGGGTTCCTGGTTGTCCTAGTTCTGCTCGGATAAGAAGACTTAAGGCTGTGCCAATTATACCAGCTCAGGCGCCGAAAATAAGGTAAAGTGTGCCAATGTCTTTGTGGTTTGTAGAGAATAGTCATCGGTTAATGAAAGTCATAGGTAAGATGGCTGAATGTTGAAGCGTTAGGCTGTAGACCTTTTTACAGAGGTTTAATTCCTCTTCTTATCGGTTCTGTAGTGAAGTTCATATTGAGTTGCAAGCTCATTGATGTGCGTTAATAAGCACCGGAACCTAGTAGGCAGAGGCCAGTTGGTTAAGGCATTTAGCTGTTAACTAAAATTTTATGGGATCGAAGCCCATCTGTCTAGGCTGTCTAGAATAAGATTCTAGCTTAGTTAAAGTATCTGAGTTGCAATCAGGAGAGGTAGGTTAGTATCCTACGAATCTTAGCAGAAACTAAGAGAGGTTGGCTCTTATTTAAGGCTTTGAAGGCCATCGGTTTAAATAACCTAAGTTTCTAAGGGATTGTAAGAATTATGGGGGATAGCGGTAAGAGTATGATTGATAGAGTTGTAAAGGTTGTAGTCAGTAGGTTGACTAGTTTGTTGGTTTGTCATTGTTTTATGTAGTTAGTGAAGTTTGGGGGTAATGTGATGGTTGCACAATAAGCGAGGCGGAGGTAAAAGAAGAGTCCAAGCAGGGAGAGAAGGGTGATGATTGTTGCTATCATAGTTAATTCTTGTTTGGTGAGTTCTATAATAATTAGTCATTTGGGTAAAAACCCTGTTAGGGGAGGAAGGCCTGTAAGTGAGAGGAGTGTAAGCATGAAGACTGAGGTTAGTGAAGGAATTTTGGTTCATGCAGTTATTATCGTTGATAGTTTTAGAGTGTTAGTTACATTAAGGGTGAAGAAGATAGCAGAGGTTGTTATAGTATACAGGTAGAAGGTGATTAAGGTGAGGTTAGGGTTGTAAATGAGAATGATAGTTATTCATCCTAGGTGAGCAATAGATGAGAAGGCTAGGATTTTACGAACTTGTGTTTGGTTGAGTCCTATTCAGCCCCCTAAAGCCACAGAGGCTACTGCCATTAAAGATAGTAGGGTGGGGTTAAGTGAAGGTGATGTGAGGTAAAAGAGGGTAGTTGGGGGAAATTTTATGATTGTAGCTAGTAAAAGGCATGTAGAAAGGGTAGAACCTTGTAGGACTTCTGGAAATCAGAAGTGGAATGGGACTAAGCCTAGTTTAATTGAAATTGCAGTGGTAAGTAGAGTACATGCTATGGGGTGAGTTAGTTGGGTGATATCTCATTGGCCTGAGAATCATGCGTTAGTTATGCTGGAGAATAGAAGGAGTGTTGATGCAGTTGCTTGAACTAAGAAGTATTTAGTGGAAGCTTCAATAGCTCGCGGATGGTGACTTTTTGAGATCAGGGGTAAAATTGCCAAGGTGTTGATTTCTAAGCCAGCTCATGCTATTACTCAGTGGTTACTTGAGATTGTGATAGAGGTTCCTAAGAGTAAACTAATTGTGGAGACAAATTTAGCCTGGGGGTTCATTAGTAGGGGATGGAGTTGAACCGTCATTTTCGGGGTATGGGCCCGATAGCTTAAATTAGCTGACCTTACTAGAAAATAATATAGGGGAAGTATGAAGGATTTTGATTCCTTTTGTGTAGGTTCAACTCCTACTTTTCTAAGTCTATGATACAGGAAATGAGAGGGCTAGTATACCTCTATGTTCACTTTATCATAGTGATCCTTTGAGTTCAGGCACATTTCCTTGGTTGTCTTAGGTAGGGGGGTAGGCCTGCATAGGAAATAGGAAGGCTAGTGTGTCATAGGCATAGGGCTAGTGTTAGAGGTAGAAAATTTTTTCAAAGCAGGTGCATTAGCTGGTCATAACGAAATCGAGGGTAGGATGCACGAATTCATAGGAAACCTGCGGAAAGGAGGAGGGTTTTTGTGGCAAAGGTTAAGGGGGTGAGTTCTTGGGGGAGGTTAAGTGAACTAGGGTTTAAGAATAGAATAGTTGTGAGTGTGTTTATTAGCATGATGTTAGCATATTCAGCTAAGAAAAATAGGGCAAATGGACCTGCAGCATATTCTACGTTAAATCCTGAAACTAACTCAGATTCTCCCTCTGTTAGATCAAATGGAGCACGGTTTGTTTCAGCGAGTGTGGAGATGTATCATATTATTGTAAGGGGTCAGGAGGAGAAAATAAGATAGAGGGGTTCTTGGGTTGTAGCAAGAGTACTAAGAGTGTAGTTACCACTTAAGATAATTACGGACATAAGAATAATAGCTAGGGTAACTTCATAGGAAATGGTTTGTGCAACTGCTCGTAAGGCACCAATTAGAGCGTATTTTGAATTCGAGGCTCATCCTGATCATAAGATAGAATAGACTGCTAGGCTGGACAAAGCTAATAGGAAAAGCATACTAAGGTTTAGGTCAGTTAGGGGGTGGGGAAGTGGAAGTGGGGTTCAGATTGTGATTGCCAAGAGGAGGGCTAGAATAGGAGTAGTTATAAATAGGTAATGGGATGAGGTAGAGGGACGGATAGGCTCTTTGATAAATAATTTTACACCATCTGCCAAGGGTTGTAGGAGACCAAATGGTCCCACAATGTTAGGACCTTTGCGGGCTTGTATGTAACTTAAGACTTTACGTTCGACAAGGGTAAGAAATGCTACGGCAATGAGGATAGATAGGGCATAGGATAGTGATATGATGAGGTGGGTTAGAGCGGGGTGAGTAATCATGTATATGAGAATGAAGCTAGGGAGAGGATTTGAACCTCTGGATAAAGGGCTTAAGCCTTCTGCATTTACCAAGCTCTGCCACGCTAGCGATCCTTTTCTAGGAAGATGGGATATAGGGGAGCTCTTGATAATTTAGTTGAGTTCATTATTGGGAGCGAAGGCGTGCTTGTAGTAGGGGCCTTACTTCTTCGGTCCTTTCGTACTGGAAGGAGTTATATCATAGATAGAAACCGACCTGGATTACTCCGGTCTGAACTCAGATCACGTAGGACTGTTAATCGTTGAACAAACGAACCCTTGGTAGCGGCTGCACCACCAGGAGGTCCTGATCCAACATCGAGGTCGTAAACCTCCTTGTCGATGGGGGCTCTTGAAGGAGATTGCGCTGTTATCCCTGGGGTAGCTAGGTTCATTAATCAATTATATTGGGTCTGGTTACTATTAGTACGTTGATAAGTGGGTCTTAGTTAAGATGAGTGATCTAGTTTTTGGAGGTTAGGTTTGTCTCCAAGGTCGCCCCAACCAAAAAATGCAAACCAGTGTATCCCAGGGGAGTGTGATTTTGGAGGGATTGTTTATGGGAGTGGCTGCGGATTTTAAAGTTCCACAGGGTCTTCTTGTCTTATGATGTTATTCCTGCTTTTGCACAGGGAGATCAATTTCACTGATTATCTGTAGGAGACAGTTAAGACCTCGTTAGGCCATTCATACAGGTCCCAATTTATGGGACAATTGATTGCGCTACCTTTGCACGGTTAGGATACCGCGGCCGTTAAACGTATTGTCACTGGGCAGGCTTCACCTCCAATACTTGGCTTGCTGAAGGCTATGTTTTTGGTAAACAGTCGGGCCTTGAATTTGCCTAGTTCCTTTTACAGATTTTAATCGCTCTTTAGGAGGCGCTCCATGGGTGGATTAACAAAGTTTATAATATATAATCTTGTTAGTGTTAGAGGGTATTTTAAGATTTGTTAATAATGTTGTAATGTAAACTTGCGCCGCAGAGGGGGAAATCCCATAGTTACTTATTTTAGCATTAATCCTCTTATTTAATATAAGTTGGCCTACTAAGGGAGAGGGAGTCATAAAAATTTTTAATTTTTTAGATAAGGAGCTTTGACGCACTCTTTAATGGTGGCTGCTTGAAGGCCCACAGGCAGGGATGAGATTTGGTTTATCCGCTTGAAGAGAGTGTATTCTTTTTTAAAGGAGCTGTACCTCCTTTAAATTACCCTTAATTCCCTATCCTTAGGGGCTAGGTTAAGTCCATGGGGGTGAGTTAAGAGAGAACTTAGATTCATTTCGTAGGCAACCAGCTATCACCCAGCTCGGTAGGCTTTTCACCTCTACTAACAAGTCATCCCACTCTTTTGCAACAGAGATGGGTTAGCTCAGTAAATAGCTGCTTGTAAGTAGCTCGCTTAGGTTTCGGGGCGGCAAACTTAAATTAGCGTTTTGCTTGGGTAGTTCTTGCTAAATCATGATGCAAAAGGTACAAGGGTTGATCTTTGCTATTTAGTGCTTGGTTTTTCATTATTATTTCATTTTTCCCTTACGGTACGTTATCTCTATTGTGTCTTGAGTGTACCTTTCTATCACCTATACTAAGCTAGGTAAGAAAATGTTTTAATTTAATGAGTGGAGATGGTTTGGCTGAATATGTTGGTGGGTGGTAGAGCTAGAGTTAGGCTTCAAGATGATCTGGTATGAAGCAGATATCTTTCAGGTGTAAGCTGAATGCTTTTATTATAGCTACATCTTGGTAGACTAAGTACACCTTCCGGTACACTTACCTTGTTACGATTTACCTCATCTTTAGTCTAGGGACTTATTAAGTATGAAATTGATTATGACTTGTGAGGAGGGTGACGGGCGGTATGTACGTGCTTCAGAGCCAACTTAAAGGAGGCATCATTATCCCACGAATGGGTTTGTTTTTGCTTGAGGCAGGGTTAATCCAAACCTTTTTCCCTAACATACCCCTCATGTGAATTACTGGGACCTTGTCTCCATCCACGGTGTGAAGGGACTCTGATTGGGCAGGGTCAGCTTGCTTGATGGCGCCTCTGCTGTTGACTAACCATGTAGCCTTTGCTAGATGCTGATCCCAGTGCTTGCATGTCCCTCCACCCAATGCCTTCAGGGTAGTATTCAACAGTCCATTATGCTGTTCAACTTTTCCCGCAGCTGCTGCATGGTATGGGATGTGGTACACCCACTAGATGCCATGCTCCTTCGCCCAGGTGATAACTAAACTGTTCTTGAAATGAGTCCCATTATCTGACTCGATGCGCTCTGGGGTGCCAAGCAGGACTTGCTTTTCGAGGTCTAGGATGGTATTTCGGGCAGTGGCATGGGGCACCAGATGCGTCTCCAGCCATCCAGTGGTGGCTTCCACCATGGTGAGCACATAGCGCTTACCTTGGCGAGTCTCTGGCAGTGTGATGTAATCAACCTGCCAGGCCTCCCCATATCTATACTTTCTCCAACGTCCACCATACCATAGGGGCTTCAGTCTCTTAACCTGTTTAATAGCAGCGCAGGTCTCAGAGTCATGGATAATCTGGGAAATAATGTCCTTGGTTAAGTCCACCCCTCGGTCTCGTGCCCATCTATGGGTGGCGTCTCTGCCCTGATGGTTTGAGGCATCATGGGCCCATCGTGCTAGGAACAACTCTCCTTTGTGCTGCCAGTCCAGATCCACCTGTGCCACCTTGACTTGTGCAACTCGGTCGACCTGCTCGTTGTTGCGATGCTCCTCATTGGCTTGGCCTTTGTGCACATGGGCGTCTACGTGGCGGACTCTCACAATCAACTTCTCTGTCCGGGTAGCAATGTCTCACCACAGATCAGCGGCCCAGATGGGTTTCCCCCTGCGTTTCCAATTGTCCTTCTTCCATCTGTCCAACCATCCCCACAGAGCACTGACCACCATCCACGAGTCAGTGTAGATGTAAAGCTTTGGCCACTTCTCTTGTTCAGCAATGTCCAATGCCAACTGGGCAGCTTTGAGCTCTGCGAATTGGCTCGATTCACCTTCCCCTTCAGTAGCTTCTGCAACCTGTTGGGTGGGGCTCCATACAGCTGCTTTCCATTTACGTTTCATTCCTACAGTGCAACAGGAACTGTCAGTGAAGAGGGCATAGCGTGTTTCTTCTTCTGGTAGTTTATCCTATTCTGGGGCTTCCTCAGCCCATACCACCTGCTCTTCTTCTTCTTCATCTGCTAGACCAAAACTCACCTTCCGGCCAGTTTGTGATGACTTCTAGGATTCCAGGGCGATTCAGATTTCCAATACGGGCGTGCTGCGTGAGCAGAGGGATCCACTTACTCGGTGTAGCATCAGTGGCATGATGCGTAGAGGATGCCTTTCCCTTGAACATCCAGCTCAGCACCGGTAATCAAGGTGCCAGGAGGAGCTGTTCTTCTGTGCCAGTCACCTCTGAGGCAGCTTGTACTCCTTCATAAGCTGCTAGGATCTCCTTCTCTGTTGGCGTGTAGCTGGCTTCAGATCCTCTGTAGCTTCGGCTCCAGAACCCAAGTGGGCGACCTCGGGACTCGCCAGGCACCTTTTGCCAGAGGCTCCAGGAGACACCTTTATTCCCAGCTGCAGAATAGAGTACATTTTTCACATCTGTTCCTGTCCTGACTGGCCCAAGGGCTACAGCGTTTGCAATCTCTTGTTTAATCTGTTCAAATGCTTGCTGCTGTTCAGGTCCCCACTGGAAATCATTCTTCTTGCGGGTTACCAGATAGAGGGGACTTACGATTTGACCGTACTCCAGGATATGCATCCTCCAGAAACCTATGGCACCCAGGAAAGCTTGCGATTCCTTCTTGCTGGTCGGTGGGACCATTGCTGTGATCTTATCGATGACTTTTGTCGGGATCTGACGATGCCCATCTTGCCACTTCACCCCCAGGAACTGGATCTCTCGGGCAGGTCCCTTGACCTTACTCTTTTTTATGGCGAACCCAGCTCCCAGGAGGATCTGGATGATTTTCTTTCCTTTCTCAGAAACTTCCTCTGTTGTGTCCCCCCATACGATAATGTCCTCAATGTACTGCAGGTGTTCTGGAGCCTCACCCTTCTCTAGTGTAGCCTGGATCAGTCCGTGGCAGATGGTGGGACTGTGTTTCCACCCCTGGGGCAGTTGGTTCAAAGTGTACTGCATGCCCCTCCAGGTGAAAGCTAACTGTGGTCTACACTCTGCTGCTAAGGGAATGGAGAAGAATGCGTTCGCGATGTCAGTAGTGGCGTACCGCCTGTCTTGGACTCCAGTTCATACTGGAGCTCCAACATGTCTGGAACAGCAGCACTCAGCGGTGGGGTGGCTTCATTCAGGCCACGATAGTCCACAGTCAGTCTCCATTCTCCGTTAGACTTACGCATGGGCCAGGTGGGACTGTTGAAGGGTGAATGGGTCTTGCTGATCACCCCTTGGCTCTCCAGCTCACGGATCATCTTATGGATGGGAATCACAGAGTCTCGGTTTGTCCGGTACTGCCGGCGATGCACTATTGTGGTGGCGATTGGCACTTGCCGTTCCTCAACCTTCAGCAACCCCACGGTAGAAGGGCTCTCCAAAAGACCAGGTAACGAGTTCAGCTGTTTAGTCACTTCTATCTCCACAGCAGCTATTCCAAAAGCCCATCTATGTCCCTTGGGGTCCCTGAAGTACCCGTTCTTGAGATAGTCAGTGCCCAGGATACATGTGGCATTTGGACCAGTCATAATGGGGTGTTTCTGCCAGTCTTTCCCGGTCAAGCTCACCTCAGCTTCCACCATGGTCAACTCTTGAGACCCTCCAGTCACCCCAGAAATGGAAATAATCTCTGGTCCCACATGTCCTGAGGGCATTAACATACACTGAGCGCCAGTATCAACCAAAGCCTGGTATTTTTGTGGGTCTGACGTGCCAGGTCATCTGATCCACACAGTCCAATAGACACGGTTGTCCCGTGCCTCTACCTGGCTAGAGGCAGGACCCCTCTAACATTCGTCTTCATCCTGCCAATCACCGTTTTCCTCTTGTGAATACCGACGGGAGGTACCTTCTAGCGGGTCAGATCCCTGTCCACAGGATACTGGTATGGCACTCACTTTCACAGACTTCCCTTTTTCTTTCTCTCTCAGCTCTTGTACTCGGGCTGCTAGGGTATGGGTAGGTTTCCTGTCCCACCGTCTCATGTCTTCTCCATGGTCAGCTAGGAAGTATCACAACTCAGTTCGTGAGGTCTGTCCACTCTCTCTAGCTGGGGGGCTTCTGGTTCTCACTGGGGCCATATGGAAATTGTTTCCCTCAATCTTCTCTTTCAACCTTGTAGTAAATTCCTTGAGCTCATTAATCATTGTCTCTACAGTGGAGATGCGGGCCTGTAGTGGTCCTTCGATCATACTGTCGTACAATCGAAGTTTATTTATTATAGACATCACTGGCTCCCGCTTCTCCCCAGCCTGCAATGATGTCAGGTAACCTTTATGTGTGGACTGCCCCATACGTGTGAAGCTCCACCACATCTGTGGTGTACACTTAACATTGTCAGGATCGTTGACGGGTTGCCCATCCCCTCCAAACAATACTTCCAGCAGTGCCATTTCCCTCAGATGTAGGATTCCTTCTTCTATGGTCTTCCAGCCTGTGGTATAATGATCTGCCTGCAAGGAATCTCTGTAGATGAACCTCTCCCTCACACCATCCAAAAGCCGTGCCCAGAGAGACAGGGACTTCGATTCCCTCACAAACACCTCCTCAATACCCACATCCTGGGCAATAGACCTCAAGAACCTCGCTTCACCGCCATCAAGGTTTATGGCATCACCTGTAGAGTCCCAAATTCGGATCATCCAGGCCAGAATGGGCTCATTCGGACGACGAGCAATGTCTGTCCGTAAGCTCCGGAGGTTGTTATACGATAAAGACTCAGTGATGATTTCTGGCTCTGGAGCAACCGCCTGTGAGGGTCCTGTCTCCCCATCATTGTCAGCCGGGTGAACTGATTTGGTTTTATATTTCTTCTTTTGGATAGGGGCAACCTCCATTGGCTTGGTCTGCCCCTTTGATTTGGCCTTATCCTGAGTCACCTTGGTAATTAGGCATTTTGTTTTCATCTTTTCCTTTTCCCTGGAAGGGTGGCACCATACCGAGCAACTTTCGGTAGGCAATGGCCAAAGCCCCACATGCAGCTGCCAGCTGCCTCTCCATGCATCCATCATAACCTCTCTGCCTCACGGCTTTCATTATTTTTGTAGGGTTCAAGAGTTGTTCAAGGGTGAGCTTCCATGTTGTGGGAGCTGAGTAACTTTCTAAGAATTTACCCATATCCTCCCATAATCCATGCCACTCGAGGTTTTCTATCCCTGGGGCAGGCTCCTGGATGCCTTCTCGGTAATTCTTGACCTTGGCTTCGTATATTAGGTATTATATGGCACAAACTAGGATAGAAAGCCCAACAAGTAAAACGTCTCTGACATCTAAAGAGGATTTAAACTTCCCAGAGGCTACTGTATTGTATCCAAAGGGAAACTGAATAAAGGGTTGGGCAAATACATTCCCCTGTGTTTCTCCATAGGAATGGGTGCTATTATCCTTAAAACCCCAGAGGAAACAGCTCAGGCTAGAACAGTAGTGCATCCTTGAGGACATATTCGGGATGAAAATCA